ATGCCCCTCCTGCCCTCTTCTAGTCATCCCCCGAGAAAGGTAGCCATTATCCAGACTTCTAAAGATGTGTTAAATTTTTTAAATCAGATATTGACTTTGAGATAACCATGGATTCATATGCCATTGTAAGAAATAATATAGCGAGATCCCATGTGCCCTTTACTCAGTTCCTCCCAATGGTGACATAGAGTAAAACCATCAAACAATCTCACAACCAGGATATTGATTTTGATACAGTCAAGACACAGAAAATATTTCCGTCACCACAAGGATCCCTCATACTACCCTTTTATAGCCACACCCACTTCCCCTCCCCCCTCCCTCCCCCCCACCCCACCCCCAGACAATCCCTTCCCCATTCAGTCCTTAACCCCTGGAGACTGCTAATTTGGTCTCCATTTCAATAATTTTGTCACTTTGAAAAGTTACATAAATGGAACCATTCAATATATAATAACCTTTTGGGATTGGCCTTTTTCGCTCAGCATAATTCCCTAGAAATTCATCCAGGTTGTTGAGTGTATAAATAGTTTATTCCTTTTTCTTATTGACTAGTATTCTATGGTGTAGATGTGTCAGCATTTGTTTAACCATTCTCCTATTGCAGGACATCTGGGTTGTTGACAGTTTGGGGCTATCATGAATAAAGCTGTTATGAATATTCACGCGCAGGTTTTTGTGTGAGTATAAGTTTTCGTTTCACTGGGATAAATGCCCAGGAGTGCAACTGCTGGATTGTATGGTAGTTGCATGCTTAGTTTTTAAAGAAACTGCCAAATTATTTTCCAGAATGGCTGTAACCTTTTATATTCCCACCAGCAATGCGTGAGTGATTCCATTTCTCTGCATCCTTGCCAGCAGTTGGTGTTGTCACCATTTTTAAATTTTAGCCATTCTGATACTTGTGTAGTGACATATCCTTGTCATTTTAGTTTTCTTTTCCCTAATGAAAAATGGTGTTGAACATCTTTCCATGTGCTTATTTGTCATCTGTATATCCTCTTTGGTGAAATATCTGTTTATGTCTTTTCCCCATTTTCTAATTGGATTTTTTTTTTTTTTAAGATTTTATTTTTTCCTCTTTCTCCCCTAAGCCCCGGTACATAGTTGTATATTCTTCGTTGTGGGTCCTTCTAGTTGTGGCATGTGGGACGCTGCCTCAGCCTGGTTTGATGAGCAGTGCCATGTCCGCGCCCAGGATTCGAACCAACGAAACACTGGGCCACCTGCAGTGGAGCGCGCGAACTTAACCACTCGGCCACGGGGCCAGCCCCTCTAATTGGATTTTTTTTATCGAGGTTATAATAGTTTATAACGTTGTGAAATTTCAGTTGTACATTATTGTTTGTCTGTCACCATATACGTGCACTCCTTCACCCTTTGTGCTCACCCCCCAACCCCCTTCCCCTGGTAACCACTGAACTATTCTCTTTGTCCGTGTGTTAGTTTATCTTCCACATATAAGTGAAATCATACAGTGTTTGTCTTTCTCTGGCTTATTTCGCATAATGTAATACCCTCAAGGTCCATCCATGTGGTTGCAAATGGGACAATTTTATTTTTTTTCATGGCTGAGTAGTATTCCATTGTGTATACATCCCACATATTCTCTATCCACTCATCAGTCGATGGGCACTTGGGTTGCTTCCACATCTTGTCTATTGTGAATAATGCTGCAGTGAACATAGGGGTGCATAAATCTCTTTGAATTGTTGATTTCAAGTTCTTTGGATAAACACCCAGTAGAGGGATAGCTGAATCATGTGGTATTTCTATTTTTAATTTTTTGGGGAATCTCCGTACTGTTTTCCATAGTGGCTTCACCAGTTTGCATTCCCACCAGTAGTGTATGAGGGTTCCCTTTTCTCCTCACCCTCTCCAACATTTATTTTTTCTCTTGGTGATTCTAGCCATTCTAACAGATGTAAGCTGATGTCTTAGTGTAGTTTTGATTTGCATTTTCCTGATGATTAGTGATGTTGAACATCTTTTCATGTGCCTATTGGCCATGAATTTTTTTTAAATGTTGAGTTTTGATAAGTTTTGTGTATTCTAGATAGTAGTCCTTTGTCAAATATGTGGTTGCAAATATTCCCTCCAAGTCTGTAGCTTGTCTTTGTATTGACTTAACAGAGTCTTTCAAGGAGCAAACTCCCCCCCTCCTTTTTCTTTTTAAGGATTGGCACCTGAGCTAACATCTATTGCCAATCTTCTTTTTTTTCTTCTTCTTATTCTTCTCCCCAAAGCCCCCTAGTACATAGTTGTATATTCTAGCTGTAGGTCCTTCTAGTTGTGGCATGTGGGATGTCCCCTCAGCATGGCCTGATGAGCGGTGCCACATCTGCAGCCAGGATCCCAACTGACGAAACCCTGGGCCTCCAAAGCAGAGTGGGCGAATTCAACTACTCAGCCACAGGGCCACCCCGGCATAAACAGTTTTAATCTTGAAGAAGTCCAATTTATCAATTTTTCCTGTTAAGGACCATGATTACAGTGTCAAGTCTAAGAATTCTTCGCTTAGCCTTTAGATCCCAAAGATTTTCTCCTATGTTTTATAGTTTTACAATTTGTACTTGTTTGTGATCCATTTTGAGTTAATTTTTGTGTAAAGTATGAGGTTTAGGCCTAGGTTCCTTTTTGGCATATGCATATCCAATCACTCCAGCGCCATTTGTTGAAAAGGCTATTTTTCCTCCATTGAATTACTTTTGTTCATTTGTCAAAACTCAATTGGCATATTTGTGTGGGTCTATCTCTTGGTTCTTTGTTCCATTCCATTGGTCTACGTGTGTCTCCCTTTCTCAGTACCACACAGTCTTAATTACGATAGCTACATAATACTTTTTGAAATTAGTTCGACTGATTTATCCCATTTTATTCTTCTTTTCAAAATCGTTTTAGATATTCCAGTTCCTCTGCCTTTCCATATACATTTTAGAATTATCTTATCTATATCTACAAAATATCTTACTAGCATTTGGATCCCAGGAATGGTATTAAATCCGCACACCAATCTGGGGAGACTTGGCATCCCCACCCCACTGAGTCTTCCAATCCATGAACTCAGTGGGGTTCTCAACTTATCTAGATCTTTTCTGACTTTTTGCATTAGCATTTTGTAGTTTTCAGTACATAAGTCCTGTGCATATTTTGTTAGATTTACACCTAAATATTTCTTTTTTTAAGTAATTGTAAGTTGTATTTTTTATTTCAGTGTTCATTGGTAGTATACAGAAATACAATTTGATTTTTGTCTGTTTGTTTTATATCCTGTGATCTCACTGAACTCACCTATTAGTCCATGAGTTGTTGTTTTTTTTAGATTCCTTGGAATTTTTAACATAGTAATGTGCAGGAAAGGACAGGTTTTTTTATCTTCTTTTCTGATCTCTATCCCTTTGATTTTCTTTTCTTGCCTTGTTGCGTTGGCTAGAACTTCCAGTGCTTTGTTGAATGAGAGTGGTGAGAGTGGGCGTCCTTGCTTTCTTCCCGTGTTTGGCACATGTTCTTCAAATGTGTTCTTAATTACTCACTGAAACATTTTTATGATGACCCCTTTAAAATATTTGTCAGAAAATTCTAACACGTCTGGTTATTTTTGGCCATTTTGGTGTTGGCGTCTATTGATTGTTTTTTGTCTTTCAGTCACATTGTGATTTTCCTGATCCTTGGTATGACAAGCAATTTTTCGATTGAAACCTGAACATTTAGGGTATTATGTTATAGAACTCTGGACCTTATTTAAACCTGTTTTAGCTGACTTTCTCTGACACCACTCTGGCTAGAGAAGGGGACATAGTACCACCTTATTGCTGCCTCGTAGGGTAGAAGTCCAGATTCCCTTCTTGGCGTCCATTGACACCTGAGGGGAGAGGGGGCTCCTCCTTACTGCTGGGTGGAGTGAGAGTTCTGGCTCCACTAGGCCTCCACTGATGCCACTCTGACTGGGAGGGTTAGGAGTCCCTTGTTACTGCTCCCCACCTCGCCTGTATGGACACCACTGGGTGTGTAGCCTTGTTACTGCTGGGTGGTAGTGAAAGTCCTGACTGTCCTCTAGGCCTCCTTTGACATCAACCTCCAGGGGAAAGGGCACCTCCTTACTGCCAGGTGGGGGTGGAAGCCTAGGCAGATGGTCTGTACTGACACAGTGCGGGTGGGAGCCTTACTACCACCTGTTAGGGATAAAAGCCCAGCTCCATCTTTGACCGTCTCCAACACCACCTAGCAGGGGTCTTAGGGGGAATAGGGGTGCTTTATTACAACCTTGTGAGAAGTCTAGTTTCCCCACTCAGCCTTTGCTAGCGTGAGTGGGGGTGGGCCACAGATTTGTTTCTGCGGCAGTTGGCTGGAGTAGAGGAGTTATTGTCTAAGTCTTCTGTCTTGCTCCTTTGGCTAGAGAAAGGAGGCTTTTGAGAGAGCTTTTTTGTCTGTGTCCATTGGCATTTCAGGCTTCCCACTTCTTCATCTTCACACTGGGGATCTATGAGGCAAAAAGAAAACCCGGGGAATTCACCACCATGTTGTTCCTTGGGTCGAGGTCCCTAGCCAGTCTGCCTTCTTCTGTCTACCTTTCAGAGTCTTCTTTTGTTTGTTTTATATGTAATGTTCTAGGGTTTTAGCTGTAGGAGGAAGAGGAATAGGGAAAAGGACATTTGCTCCATCTTCCCAGATGAGTGCCAGAAAAGGGGATTTGCAAATACTTATCATTTCATATAAGGGTTTGTGATGACACATGTAAAGGAATCAGACCATGCCTGGCACATAGTGGGTACCAAATAAAATGATTGCTATTATTTTTCAACAATTCAAAAATTCTGTAATTCTAAACTTGATTGAGTGTTGCATGTTATGGTGCTAAATTCTGAAATTCGGTAATTCTGTGTTTTGGCATTTCCAAGTACGGAACTTGACCTTTCTTTCTTCCCCATTTTTTCCTATCCTTGGACCATCCTAGGGAAGTAGTTGATCCTGAGAAAGAATTCTGTTGGCTTGTCTTGCAGAGAGCAGAGAGCATCGATCCGGTTCAAGACTACCCTTATGAATACTCTCATGGACGTCCTTCGCAACAGGCCGGGATGGGTGGAAGTGAAGGAGTAAGACACCACCCCCTCCAACCTCATCCCTCCTTCCCTTTGCCTCACAGGTCCTGTCTCCCTTTGTTTTTCTCCCAGTTCTGCTGGGTGGCTATGGGGACTTGTCCCAATTTGGCTGTGACATGGGCTGACATTTATTTGGCACTCACAGTGTATCAGGTGCATTACTGATGCCATCTCTGTCTTACTTGGGCCTTACAACCATCCAGCAGGATATGATTATGTTCAGAGGTATCTACCCAATTGCTCAAGATCACACAGCACGTAAGTAGGATTCAAACCCAGTTCAGTTTACTAATCCACAGCCAGTATGCTGTGGCTCTCAGTAGAAACAAGGAATACATCCGTCACAGATCTGCTGGGCTGAGTCCTCCAGTGACAGTCCAGGTCAAGGGCTGCTTTTCTCTGGCCACTTACTAGTTCTGTGACCTTGAATAAGTTACTTGACTCTAAGCCTATGTTTCTTCTTCTGTACTGGCCCCAGGAGATACTGAGATGAATAAGCCTACAATAGCTGGCACACAGTAGGTGCTAATATTAGTTAGGGTAAGGCTTGGATGTATGTAACAGAGACCCAAAGTAAAAGAGACTTTGATGGACTAGAAGTTTATTTATCTCTCCCATTGAAGCCCGGATGTGGGAAGTTCAGAGATGGTATGAAAATGTGGGCCCCATCTTTTTCCGTCTTCCTACTCTGCTATCCCTTGAGTGAGGCCCTCGTCCTCATGGTCCCAGGTGGAGCTCCAGCCTCACAGCCATATTCCAATCAGTAATAGGTAGGAAGGAGGCCAGAAAAGGCATGCCCTGCCCTTGAAGGACCCAACCTAACAGTCCTTCACATTTCACTGGCTGGAACTTAGCCATTTGGACACACCTAGCTGCAAGGGAATCTGGAAAATGTAGTCTTTATTCTGGAAAGTGTAGACTACATTTTCCCAGGTAAATGTTGGGAATTCTATTACTATAGAAAAAGAGGAGAATGGATATGAGGGGTGAGGCAGCCAGCCGCCCCGTGTGGTGCTCAGTAAATATTTGTTGCAAAACAACAGTTATGCCTGCTAGGCGCTCTTCAGCACTTTTCATGCATGACCTCTATAAATAATCACAGCAAACTTTCAGGGTAGGTGCTGTTATCATCCCCATTTTACTGATGATGAAACTGGACACAAAAGAGTAAAAAATGCCAAGTTGGAGGTCACTCAGCCTGTAAGGGCTTGGGCTACGATTTGCACCTGGTCTGTCTGTCTGCAGAGTCCCAGGTTCATCTCCGCCCTGTTCCAGTGGCCATACAGTGAATGAATGAGCAAAGGAGCAGATGGCTGAATCCATGATTCCTGCTGCCTGGTGCTGGGATCTAGCGGAAGAGACAGGCTTTGACTAAATCATCCCACAGAAAATTAGGAGTTGTCTATAGCAGGCTGTGGTACAGGTAATCCAAGATGGCGGAGTCCTCTCTTTGGGACTTTGGGGAATATTATGACCATGATAATGATGTTGATGATGGCGATGGTGGCAGCCACTGTGGATTTTGCTTCTTGGTTCTCTCATGCATCACACTAATATCGGGATGGGGTTTCTTTCCCTGGATCCAAAAGAACTGAATGTAGTGCAGGATGGGGGGCGGGGGGAGTTGGGAGATGACAGCAGGTGACTGGCAGGTGGGGGTGGTGTATGGGGAAGGGCACTGTCCTGACCTGCTGTGTGACCTCAAGCCGCCTCCTGCCCCTCTTCAGCCTCACTCCATCATCAGGTGGAAGAGGGCCCACCTGTCTGATGCTGACGATGTGGGAATCCACGAAGCAAGTTGCTCCATGGCTGATCCTAAATTGCCTCAGGCATCCTCAAACCAGGAAGGACCAGAGGCCAGGGTCTTTACACAAGACCTGGCTCTGTGAATGTGAGGCCTCATCCTTTAGGATCTAACCTAGGGTCTGCTATTTCCAGGCAGAATCACGTCTCAGTTCAGACTGTCAGTCTGTGAGGTCAGAGTTTGGAACAGATGCGGCCAGAGCTGTCCCTTCTCTTGCTTCCCACTGAGCATGCTGATGTGATGCCTGGAACTGTGGCAACCGTCATCAGCCTGAGGTGATGAGCATGAGGACAACATGTTAAGGATGGCAGACTGGGAGGGCAGAGGAACCTGGATCCCTGCTGGCCTTGTTGAGCAGTTAATGTCTTCCTGGGTGATTTAAGAGCAACTTGAATGTGATAGTTGTGAAGAGGGGGTACAAATGGACGAACTTTCAGAATTAGAAAAGAATGCAAACTCCACACCATGGTCTGCAAGGCCTTGCTTGACTGGGCCCCACCCCACTCTTTAGCTACATCCTTGACCTTTCTCCCTCCACTCTGGCTTTTTTCACGTCCTTGAACATGCCCTTCCCAACCTCAGGGCCTTAGTTCCTGCCCTTCCCTCTCCTGGAACCCTCTCCCCAGTGCTCTTGGCCTGGCTGCTCTTCCTTGCCCTTCAGATCTCGGCTGAAATGTCACCTCCACAGGGTGGCCTCCACCCAACATAGGTCCCTCAGCTACCCTGTGTCATGGCCTCCTCCTGGAGTACTTGTGGCGTGTTTCACGTTTCCTCATCATGGAGTTATTTATTTGTTTCCTTGTCTGTTGTTAACCCTCCTCAGTGGACTCTATGCACCACTTGGCCAGGTGTTTCATTTCCTCCTGTATCCTTGCCCCTGGCAATCGCCCAGCACTGTCTCTGACACCAGGACAACCTCAACATATATGGGTTGGATGAATGAATAATGCGTTATTCGTTCATCTAAGACAAAGGGTTGGTGAAAAAGCAAGTTTTAGAAGGAAACAGACGGGAGTGGTTCTAACCACAGAGCTTGAACTCTAGAGCCCGATGGCTGGAGTTCCAATCCTGCTCTGCCACCTACTAGCCGTAGGAACTTGGGTAAGTTCCTTAATCTCTCTGTGCCTCAGTTTCCTCATCTGTAAAATGGGCATAACAGAACCTAGCACTTAGGGTTGCTATGGGGATCAAGGACTTAATATTCTCAAAGTACTTAGAACAGTGTGTGTCACGTGGTAAGCACTGTGTAAGTACTAGCCACTAGAAAGTTTTCAAATGTGCCAAACAATGCCTTGTGCTAAATCTGGACACACACACACACACACACACACACACATACAGATAGTAGCACTATAAAGACACTCAGAAATGATACCAACTTCAGGCTCATAGCTCCCTTTGGGGCAGGAGAGAAGGAGATAGAATCAGGCAGGAATATACATGGTGCTTCACTTATATCTGTAACTTTTTACTTAAAAAATTGGAAGCAGTCGTGGTGGTGTTATTTGATTTCCCATCACGTCTTTTTCGGGCCCCTGCTCTCCGCACCCCAGCTTGATGTCAGATTTGATGGTTTAGTCTGGTTTCCCGTTCTTCTCCTGGCGTGGTGGTGAAGACGGGGGTTGGAGTTTGGAGTGAGGCAGGCCTGGGGTGAATCCTGACGCTGCCGTGTGCTCAGCGAGTGAGGCCGCCCCCGACTTAGAGCTGCAGGCGTGCTCGAAGTCAGCTCTCACTGTTTGGGGCTGTGCTGAGGGCTCAGTGAGAGGAGGGCCTTTGGAGCTGGGAAGGGGTTGCAGATGTTACCTAATTCCGCTGCTTGCTTGTGTGGGCTGGGGGGTGGCAATGGAGACGCCTCCAGAGCCCAGGTGGGTAACATGATCAGGTGAGGTTGGTTGGTTGTCATGGGCCATGCAGAGCGGTGGGGATGTGATCTGGAGAGAGCGTGCCCTGTCTAACCTGGTGGCCGCTCCTCAGTCCAGCCAATAGGTGCCAGGAGGCATCTGGGCTCAGTGTGGCCAGATCTGCTGATTATTCAAAGGAAGCCAGCAGCCTGGATTTCTGTAGGAACCTTTCTCTAGTTTTCCCTCTGGCCTAACAGCACATCGTGGGCAGCAGTGGCCCACGGCGGCCACCCTGATTCCTGATGGACACACTGCTGCTTACCCCTCAGCTGCACCTCTCTGGGTCCCTGACCCCCAGCAGTGCTGAGGTCCTCAGGTCATGACCTTTGTCCTACCCCACCCTCAGCGAAGGGGAGTGGGATTTCTACTGGTGTGATGTCAGCTGGCTCCGGGAGAACTTCGACCACACCTACATGGACGAGCACGTGCGGATCAGCCACTTCCGAAACCACTACGAGGTGAGCTGCGTGGGCCCAGGGGACTGCAACCCACGTCCCTGGGTGTGGCACTGAGCAGGAGCTGGCTTTAGGGGGCAAGGACCAGAATGGAAAAGTAAGAGGGAGTTCGGGATTCGTGCCAGGTGGGGAATAGTTGCGTGCACTAGGCATATGAGGAGCAAAATGGTGTGAGGGGGCGGGATCTAAGACCTGAGGAACAGCTGTCCTGGGGTGAGGATTGAAGTCACGGGCTGGTTGGCTTTTTAGCACCAGAGATGTGAGGGGCAGGCTGGCTTGGGGGTGCAAAGGGGGCGGGATGCTTGAGGGATGATGGGGATTTCAGGGTGAGGCAAGTTGAGCAGTTTGGAGTCTAGAGATAGGAGAGAGGTCTGGAGAAACCAGACCACACAGACGGGGCTGGAGGAGCCAGTGGTAGGAGATTTTAAAAGTTTAGTGTACATCCCACAACTAGAAGGACCTGCAACTAAGATATACAACTGTGTACAGGGGGTTTTGGGGAGATAAAGCAGAAAAAAAAAAAAAGAGTTTAGTGCAGCTTTGCGGTTAGAAACATGAACTTGGGAGTCAGACAGGCCTGGGGTCAAACCGTGGCTGTGCTGCCCGTTAGCTGGATAGCTCTGGGCAGCTGACAGCCTTCGGGGCCTGGAACGTGGGGATCATTCTAGAGCAGCAGGCCCTCAGTCAGAGGTACTCTCACTGTTCTTGTTGTTCTGTGGGCCAGAGGGTGGAGGCTGCAGGGGTTGGGGGGCAGTTGGTGGGTTGAGAAGCGGAGCAGGGCAGTGGGCACAAGTACTAAGGGCCTATCCCCCCTGCCCCCCAATCCTGCTGCTCAGCTGACCCGCAAGAACTACATGGTGAAGAACCTGAAGCGGTTCCGGAAACAGCTGGAGCGTGAGGCAGGAAAGCTGGAGGCAGCCAAGTGCGACTTCTTCCCCAAAACCTTTGAGATGCCATGCGAGTACCACCTGTTTGTGGAGGAGTTTCGCAAAAACCCAGGAATCACCTGGATCATGAAGCCGGTGAGTGTCCATTGCTGGGAACTGGGGAGAGGGTGGCAGGAGGAAGGGTTTCCTAGACACTAGAGCAGGGATCCTTCAGGGCACATTCTCAGGACAGGACTCTGCCTGGGAATCCAGCCTTGGCTGCACTGCCTGCTCCCCTGAAGGGCCAACTTCATCTCCTCCTCCCTGAGGTGTGTGGAGCCAGCAGCTGTGACTGCTGGTATATGCAGGTGCTCAATAAGTGTTCACTAGGTGGGCAAGTGATCCTCAGGACACCAGGGCAGGGATCCTGAGCCTCACCGGAGCTTAGACCCCGACCTGTCTTCTTGACGTGAAAGGAAATGGTGGCCGGGCTGTGACAAGTGTTTCACTAGCAATGCCCCAGTTCGCATAATGGCCCTTGGGAGGAGGTAGTACCAACCTCGTTTTAAAGAGGAGGAGCCTGAGACCCGTGTCTAAGCCTCCACAAACACTGAGCACTTGCCCCGTGCCAGGCACAGAACCAGGCGCTTTGCAGGCACAGCCCTTGGCGAGTGAGACATGGGTCTCTGCTCTCCTGAGCGTGGACAATTCGCAGGGAACGTATGCTTGATTACAGTTGTGCTAAGAATTATTAAGGAGAATGGTGCTGGGAGGGAAAACAGTGGGATGATGTCCCCCAGCCAGGCAGGCTTCTCTGAAGAAGTGGGAGACTGGACTTTGAAGCCAAACCCCTTGGTTCAAATACTAGCTGTACCACGTACTGGCTGTGTGACTTCAGGCGGATTCCTTAACTTCCCTGGGCCCCAGTTTCCCCATCTGCAAAGTGAGAATAACTGTAGTACCTATAGCATAGTGTTGTTGTGTGATAAGTGAGTTAGCACAGGTAAAGCACATATTAAGTACTCAATAAATGATAGTTGTTATTATTATTATTGTTATAAGAATTAGCATTAAGCTGCAACCTGAAGGATGCAGAGGAGTCAGCCTGGAGAAGGGCAGAGGTAGGGAAGAGCATTCCGGAATGAGGGAACTGCATGCCCAAAGACCCTGCATCTGGGGGTAGCCGTTTAGGGACCCAGAAACTGAGTGGAGGCCGAGGGTGGCAGAGCACCTACCAGGCCTTCAACCTTCCTCTTCCTCCCTCACCGCAAAGCCACCCTAGCCTTTAAGGGCCTCCTCAAAGCCCCCTGATGTTTTCTGGGCTTGTGCCAGGCCTCAGGAAGGGAGTTGGGGGTCGCGTAGGAGGGAGCAGCCCTTCCTTGTGGGGCCTGTGTGGGCCGATGCATGGGATCTTGGAGGCGGAGCAGACAAGGACAGCGATGCGAAGGGGCAGTGAGGAGGGCTCTGGAGCCGGAGCAGAAGGGGTTAGGCCGATGAACACTGTCACCCACTGCGCGCATTCCAGCTCCCAGCATTATCCTCTCAGACAAATGGTAATTTGTGTAATTGGGAACGAACAATCGCATATTAAGTTGATTCCTTTCCCAGCCCACGGCCTTTGTAGCGGCAGACACAACGACAGCTGTAATTAAGAGGAGGAATCTTGGCTCCGTGTGTGTGTGTGTGTGTGTGTGTGTGTGTGTGTGTGTCCTCTCTCCGGAATAGCTGAGGCACCGCGTCTGGGGTGTGGGGTGTGGAGAGTGGGTGCTTCTAGTCAGACTAGCCTGGGTTCTACTTCTGTGTCTGCTACTTATCAGCTGTGTGACCCTGAGCAGGTTACTCAACCCCTCTCAGTCCATTTCCTCATCTGTAAAATGGAATTAACAGGTGTGCCTGCCCACAGGGTTGTGAGAGAATTCCGTGAAGCTGTACATGTCGTGTATGTGAATCATACAAGTTAAATAAAGGGCTTGGGACTCGGGCGCCCAGTAATTGACCATTTTTATTCTCATGTCCAAGAGTCCAGGCCACACCGTCTGTTCCCCCTGCCCCTGGGAAGCCCAAGGTCAGCGCTTTCCAGACTTGAATGTGCCCACAAATCATGGGGCACCTGGTGAAGATGCAGAGCCTGACTCAGCGGGTCTGGGCAGGGCCCAAGAGTCTGCATTTCAAACAACGCTGAGTCCCGACACTGTGGGGGTGTAATTCTCAGACGTGAGAGTGCGTCAGAATTTTCTGAAGAGCTTGTTAAAGTGCCTGGCGTGGTGCAGGCCTGTCACGGGGCCTGAGAAGGTGCATTTCTAGTTCTAGCTCTAGTTAGAAACAGAGCCATTTGGGTGTGTGTCTAAGGAACTGGCTCACATGATATTGTGGGGGCTGGCAAGTCTGGAACCCGCAGGGGCAGGCCAGCAGGCTGAAAACTCGGGCAGGATTTCTATGTGAAAGTCTTGAGGCAGAATTGCTTCTTTTTCTGGAAACCTCAGTTTTTGCTCTTCAGTCCTCAATTGGTTGGATAACACTCACCCACGTCATCCAGGGTGACATCCTCTACTTAAAGTCTGCTGATTGTAGACGTGATCCCATCTACAGGATCCCTGCACAGTCACATCTAGACTAGCACTTGGCCAAACAACAGGGCACCCTTGCCCAGCCAAGGTGACAGATAAAATTGATCATCACCGCAGGTTATGGGGGTGCTGCTGGTCTGGGCACTGCACTCTGAGAAGCACGGGGCTAGAGCATTCGTTCTGGGATCCTGTTGCTTGGATTCCTTTGGGGTGGGGAAATGATAAAAAATAGAACCTAACCCCAAATTTGGAAGATAGAGGGAAAAAGTCCCCTGGATCCCTCCACTCTTCCCACAGGGCCTATCTTTGTGGTGCAGTTGGTTCTCCTCCACCCACACACAAGAATTTTCACATGGTTGCAGTGGCCGGGCCCGTTGGGGCAGCCGATGGCCTGCCTTTCTCCTCCGGGGTCTCCTCTGCTCGGTTCCCGGGGGCCTGTGAGCTTTCATCTTCCTCTTTGGCAGCAGAATAGTCCTGGACAGGGGAGTTGAGTCGGACTCAGAAGGGAGCAGGCCGCATCGTCCCCTCCATGCTACCCCGCGGGGCCCCTCTTCCCACCAGGCCCGGCCCACGGAGCTTTGCTATCACTCTCGGGACCATAAGAACAAGCCCTTGGATTTGGCATTTAAAAGTCCAGTCTAGGGTAAAAATTTCCTCGATCCAAACTTTTTTTTGTCTAAACATTCTCCCCTCCCACCAGCTCAGGCCCTTTGGGTTGGTGGGGAGGTGGGTGGGACCCAGACCAATGGGACCACACCGGCTCCCCCAGCCTCCCTCATATGGCTGGGAGGCAGGCACCAGGCTGTCAGGACCGGGGCCTGTCTGTCAGTCTATCTGTGTGTCCACGGGGCTGGTCCAGCACTTCACTCGGGGCTGGCTGTGGGCGTCCCAGGACCCAACCTCCGCTCTGTAGGCCTCCGTCCAAATTGCAGCAGAGGGAGAGCCGCATTTGAACATTCCATGACTCGGGTTTACCGCAATCGGAGCTTCTCACGCTTTTTCACTGAAATCTCCTAAGGGTTGGGATGCTTTGGGTAGCAAATAACAGAGAACGCAATTAAAGTAACTCGACGAGAGGGCAGGGCTTCTGGACCGTTCTCATGCCGTGGGCCTCGTTGACATCTGGTGAGATGTGTGGACCCTGTCACAGAGTAATGTTTTCCAAAGCATCACATAACACAGGCTTGATTGTGAAAGAAAGCAGCTATATTGAAAAACAGTTATCAAGCCGTGTTAGTCTAGGTCCTTGGAGAAACAGACGCCAAGAAGAGATTCAACACACCAGAGTTTTGCCTGTGAGAGAATAGGGAGAGGGCGCCGGGGAGGCTGGGGGAGCTGTAGACCCCGGTGAGGGAGACAGGGAGGGAAGGTTGGGCGGAAGCCGCTAGACTGCTGTGCAGCCTACAGGAAGTTCAGCAAGGCTGCGGAGAGGCCTCAAGCTGAAGTCACTGTCAGAGGCATCCCCTGTCTCCCAGGAGTGGGCCAGCCTTCACGACCCTGCAGTCCTCGGTCATTGGCCCGGAGCCACCCCAGCGAGCCAGCGAGGCCCGCCCGGCGAGCACAGCCTGCATCTCAGCGGCCACGCCTGGCACTCCCAGCCATGGCTCTCCCGCCGTCGAAGGCCCTCGAGGGCCTTCTCCCGGCTGCCACACAAACTATTAAAACAGTCTTCATGCTGTAGAAATGTAAGCGTTTTTCATTAACAATTAAAGAGAGGCTACAGCAGGCCCAACGGTTACCGTAATTTCAAAGTCATCATGAGCATAAACAGTATTTTGAGGTATCTGTAACAATCGTAATGCGATAGAAAAAGAACTGATTTCTTTTGAGAGCTACGTCTTTGGTGTGGCTGGTAGTCTAGGATTTGTTGCTGCGTTCGTAACAGGAGGCAGTGTGAAAATCTGGTTGGGGGGTGGTTAATGAAAATAAAGATGAGAAATTTTTTCTCATTCAAGTTTACAGACCCCAGAGAATTTCCTTTAATGGTGCAAGGTCGACTCCAGGGATGGTTTATTGGGCCGCTGAACGTCATCATCAATTCCCAACCCAGTGGGCTGGCTGCTCCTCTCGGTCACAAAACGGCTGCTGCAGGTGTAGCTTCACCTCCTCACCCCTCCACCTGCCCCCTGGCCTTGTGTCCCATTTGAAGAAGACACAGCTTCCCAGAAGTGCCTGTAGCAGACTTCCGCTGGCAGCCTGCTGGTCCATCCCTGGACCGATCACCTGGCAGGGAGAGGCATGGGACCACCGCGGGGGCTCCGACCTCCCCGGAGAGAAGGGCCACGGGGAAGAGGAGATCTGAGTGGGATTCTCCTGGCAGGGAAAAAAGGGAAGGGCTGCTGGGGAGACCACCCCCCACATCTGCAAGGCTGCGAGTGGCCGCACGTGCTGCAAAATCAAAGCGTGGTTCATTCTAATATCCATTCCTATTGTTTTCTAATCAATAACGTATCTTTTTATAAAAATAATATAAAAATATTTTCCTCCCAAATTATCAAGTAAAGGTCACACTCCCGGAAGTCACACCATGTTGATCACGTGATTTTGTGTTCTCCCCGGCACTTTGCAGGAGGTGCGCGAGCGCCAGGCTTGTGAAGCACAGATTTAACTGTCCTGAATTTGTCACCTACTGGCTGGGTAACCTTAAGCAGAGTGCTCGCCTCTCTGTTCCTTGGTTTCCTTGGCGGCAAAATGGGGATAATATTAATGCCTATATATAGGAGTTTTAAAGAAAACTTTAATGAGGTAGTGTGTGTAAATCCTTGTGCCTGGCACATACAGAACATCTAAGAAGACTTAGCTGCTGGTGGTGCCATTGTTATGAAGCATTTTCCTAAAGTTGGTGTTCTGGTTCCATTGCTGCACCCCAAAACTCCATGGCTTGAAACGACAGCCGTGTCCTATTTAGCTCGTGGGCCTCCAGTTTGGGGAACACTTGACAGGGATGGCTCGTCGCTGCTCCAGCTTCCACTGAGGCAGCTTCCCTGAGGGCAGGAAGGTCAGCTTCCACGCTGGCTCACTCACTCAGCTGGCAAGTTGGTGCCGGCTGCCGGCTGGGAGCTCAGCCAGAGTTGAGGGCTGGAAGGCTCAGTGGCCCTCCCTGTGGCTTCTCCATGTGACCTGAGCTTCCTCGCAGCGCGGGGGCTGGGTCCCAAGGGTGCCCATCCCCAAAGAGAAAGCTGTGTGGAAGCTGTATTGACTTTTATGACCCAGCATTGGAATGCACACAATGTCACTTCTGCCATGCACGATTGTTCGAGACAGTCCTAAAGGCTCGCCCAGATTCAAGGGGAGGGCACATTGACTTTACCGCTTGATGGAGGTCAGGGGTAGCAAGGTTCTGGAAAACATATGGGACTGGAAATATTGTTGTGACTGCTTTTGGAAACTACAGTCTGCTGGAGCTAGCTATTAGGTGATTTCCAGTCTTAACAACCCTGATAGATGATGATGCAGGAAGTTTATTTTCCACTCTAGGATTATTCCCTTAGGAGGGCATCTCCTGGAACAGGCATGTCAGTTACCAACAATGCTTTAAGCAGCAAAGGCATTTCATTATCTCATATAACAAGAAAGCTGGGGGCAGGAAGTTCCAGGTTTGGGAATGTGCTCAATGATGCCCTTAAAAGCCCTGCTCCTTCTCTTTGTCCACTCTGCATCCTCAGTGTGTTGGCTTTCTGTCATCAGGCTTGTCACCTCATCCATGTGACATGGCTGCTGTATTTGCAGGCATCACCTCCTCAGTCTGTGGCATTCAAAGAAGGAAGGAAAGGGGCCAGGCATTTCTTTCTTTCTCTCTCTCTCTGTCTTTCTCTCTCTCTCACTCTCATCCCAATATTTTTAACAGAGAGGAAATCTTTCTCAGAAGCCTTGAAGCTCCAAGCCAATCTCGCCTTAGGTCTCATTGGCCAAAACTGGTCACATGGTTTCCACTAGCTGCAAGGGAGGCTGGGAAAACAAGAATATGGTCTGTCAAGCCTCAAGGGGGACGGCTGTAGGGGAGGCAGCCAACAGGAGTGGGAGCGGGGGCCGGGGTTCCTACATCATAACGTGTGAACCTCAAAAAAACTTTTTAATTGAAGTTTAATAAAACAGAATGTGCCTAGATTATAGGAGTACAGCTTGATAAAATTTTACAAGTGAACACACTCAAGTAACCAGCACCTAGGCCATAAACTGAACATTACCAGCCCTTCAACAGCTCCCCTCAGACCCTTTTCCACTTTCCCCAAGTCACTAACAGCATAGGTTCATTTGCCTGCTTTTGTGCTTTCAATAATTGGAATCATATAGTATGGCTACGTTGTATCTGGTTTCTGTCCCTCAATGTTATTTTCATGCACTTCATCTGTACTGATGTGGGTAATTGTAAATTGTTAATGATCCTTGTTGTATACTATTCCTTGAGTGGGTGTTTATCCCTTTGGGAGTTTCGAGGTTGGAGCTATGATGATTTGGGCTGCCATGGACGTTCCTGTGCATGTCCATGGGTGCCCATATGCACGTGTTTCTGTCGTGTAGGTACCTAGGAGAGGAACTGCGGCGTCATAGGGGATGCCTAGGTGCAGCTTTAGTGGATGCTGCCAGTTTCCAAACAGTGGGCACTCCCACCAGCAGTCGTGAGAGTTCCAGTTTCTCCACGTCTTCATCAACACTTGACATTGTCTGTCTTTAATTTTAGCCATTCTCAGGGAGTGTGTGGTGGTATCCTTTTGGGGTTTTCATTTGCATTTCCCTGAAGACTAATGAAGCTGAGTGTCTTTTCGTTGTTGACGTTTGGTGATCTTTCATGAAGACTTTGCATGGCTGTGAATGGCTGGAAGCCCTTGGAGCACACTGATTAGTTGCTTTCCAAAATACTGTGCCCATGTGACTGTCCCCGAGCCATTTTCTGGGAACACATAGCCATGAACCAGGGTGCACAGTACTGCAGGCAGAGCAGGGCTGGGTGTCAGCTTCCACTGCCCCCACACCTGGGAGCCCTTCATGCAGTGGGCAACCTGTAGAGCCGGGCCTGACAGCTCTGCCCGCCCCTACACTGTACAGAGAGCCCCACGTTGACGAGCTGAGCCGTGCTCAGAGGAGAACAGAGGGAAATGAGACTTCGCACTCGCTGGGGGCCTTTATGCTGGAGAAAAGATGACTCAGGGAGACCTGCTCAGAGGCTGCAGATAATCAAAGGGCTGATCTGCCCCAATAATCAGATTTGTTCTAGGAAGCCCTAGAGGCCAGAACCAGGCTGGCAAATTTTAGCTCAATACGGTTTAGGCTGTGAAAGCTCCATGAGATCTGGGTTACTGCTATAGCATAATGCCCAGCACACAGTAGACACCTAATATATACCTGTTGGATGACTGCTTACTAGAGCTATCCTGCAACAAAATGGGCTGTCGGGAGATGGGGGAGGGTGGTGAGCTCCCTGGCGCTATGGGTGTGCAAGGCCAGGCAGGTGACATCGTAGAGGAATGTCACAGGAGGGAGTAATGCCTTTGGTGCCGACTGCTCTGCATGATATTAAAAATTCCCCAGCCCCTAGACTCTGGGAAGCTATGAATTATCCATGCTGGGATTCAGCGAAGGCAGAGCGAGTTCAGTGTTAGCCGAAGCAAAACCTAATTAGGAAGGCAAATTGATTTCCAAAAAAAGAATTGGATGATATGTTCCCAGGACTCTTGGAAATGGTTTTTTAATTGTCTGCTCTTTTGTATTATGCATGCAACTGCGTGCCTTTGAGAGCTAGGTCGGTCTTGCACTTTCCTTCCCGCTTCCCTGCCTTCCCCGGCCTTAGCACCTTCTCTGTCCCAGCCCCTGCAGGGGGCGGAAGGGGCCATTCCTCTGGGGAAGGCTGGGGGCCGTGGGGAAGATGGAGACAGAGGTGCTGGGGAGGGGCCTGGGCGCAGGGGCCAACAAGGAAGCACACAGAGCTGAGAGCCCACCTTTCTTCACCAACCTCACCCCCCCAGGTGGCCCGGTCACAGGGGAAGGGCATCTTCCTCTTCCGGAGGCTGAAGGACATCATGGACTGGAGGAAGGTGAGCTTGCCTCTCCCCCTTCCTCCCCAAACCCTCCTTTGCTCTTTCTGGGACGAGGGGCCCTTTCTTCCTGCCCTCAAAGCTCAGAGGGCTGGTAGAAGAGCTCTGTCCACAGGCCTGCCCATGGGAATGGGCTCTCTGGAGCAGATTGCCTGGGTTCAAATCCTGACCTTGCCACTTAATAGCTGTGGGACCTTGGGCAAGTTACTTTACCTCTCTGTGCCCACGTAACTGGGGGATAGTAATAATACCTGCTGAGGATGCAAGGAATTAATATGCCCAAAAGCTGAGAACAGTGTGTTCTTTGCCTGGGCCTCCTGCTCACCTGGCTGGGAAGAGTTTAGCTAACTAACTCTTCCTCAAGGTCCTAGACTGAGCCTGAGTTGGCTCCCTTCCTCCCCTCCACCCCATCCTCGTCGCAGGTCGCAGGATGCGGTGCAGTAGAAATCCTGGTTCCAGTCCTGCCTCTACCATTCAGCAGCTGTGTGGTCTTGGGAAAATTGCTTAACCTCTCAGAACCTTAGAGATGATAATGGTGCAGGGAGGGTGAGACTTGTGGGATGACCAAACTCCCTCACGACCAGCACCTCCTGCAGCAGCAGGCTCACAGCAGGCGCTCAATAAATGCGTTTCCCCCCTCCGCTGTGTGTCTCGGATTCTCCCATGAAACCATCAGGGCAACGCCGGGAAGAAGCTCACCAGCCTGGAGGCCCAGCCAGCCCGGAGCACTGCCAACCCCTCTGGCAGCCATGTGAGTCTAAGTCGGGGGTCCCTGAAGGGGAGGCCTGGCTGCCTCTGTCCTGAAGCAGCATGGGGGGCGGGAGTGATGAGAGGTGTAGAAAATCCTGCCCTTGGGGCCAGAAGCCCCAAGTTCCAGTGTCCCTGCCACTGGGCTGTCATGTGACCTCAAATGTGTGACACCTGACTTTGGGCCTCGGTTTCCTCGCAAGGTCCCTGTGAAGGGGACAGTGGGTGGGGAAGGGTGTGCAGGCTGTGAGGTGCCCTGCAGGTGGGAGAGAGCTCTGCTTCCTCCTGAGCTGCGCTGGCCGGGAAGGAACTAGCAGGAGAGAAGGGAGCGGAATGTCCTCTGGGGCCTGTGTGTGCTCTTGGCAGCTCTGACCCACGGAAGCTTCCACAGGGATGGAAACAGTGCATACCGTGCTCTCCACCCTGGTGACCGCCAGCCACGGGTTGATACTGAGCACTTGAAATGCAGCTAGTGCGACCCAAAGACTGGATTTTTTATTTATTTCCTTTTTTATTGTAATATACATATAAACTTTGCCATTTGAACCATTTTTGAGTGCACAGTTCAGTGGCGTTGTGCAACCATCACCACCATCCATCTCCAGGACTTTTTCAGCTTCCCCAGCGCCTGGCAACCACCATTCTACTTTCTGTCTCTGTGGATGTGGTACTCCAGGTACCTCACATAAGTGGGATCATACAATATGCGTCCTTTTGCGTCTGGCTAATTTCAATTAGCATTATGTCTACAAGGTTCATTCACATTGTAGCACGTAATTTCACTTAGTTAATCAATTTCACTGTGACTATATGGAGCCACATGTGGCCAGCGGCTGCCCTACTGGGCAGTGCGGGTCTGGAGGTTAAATGCCCAGGCTCTGGGCCTAGCCTGTGTAGGTCCACTTCCCAGCTGCATCACTGACCAGCTGTGTGGCCTTGGGCAAGTCACTCCCCCTATCTGTGCTTCAGTTTCTCATCTGTAAAATGGGGATAACACTAGTACTTCCCTGATGCGGTTGACTTAAGGATCAAGTGACATACCCAAGTAGAGTGCCTAACACAGTGCCTAGTACACAGGAAATGCTCCATAAATGTTAGTATTGCTTATTGTTACAACTAGGACGCAAGAAGTTCTGACGACCAGAAAGAGGACATTCCCGTGGAGAACTATGTAGCTCAGCGATATATCGAGAATCCCTACCTGATAGGAGGTGAGATGGCCGTCTCTGCTCCCTGCCCTTCCACTGACCCGTTAGTCAAACAGTCAGTCAACAAGCCTTGACTAGCGGCCTCGCGTGGGCTCAGCCTGACAGCAGGCATGAAGGGATGCAGAGGGAGGTCCACCCTGCACTCTCCCACCTCCTAGCCATTGTCTATGCAGTTCCCTCCGCCTGGCATGCCTTTCCCACTCCCTTCTGGTTCACTAAAATTCTCCTCATTCTTCAAGAAGCAACTCGTTCGTGAGTTTATTCAACAAATATTTATAGGAGCCACTCAGTACCAGCCACTGTCCGGGGTGCTGCCTGCCCTGCTCTCATGGAGCTTATGCCCCAGATGGGCAGACAGCAATAAATCAGAAACAAATGAATAAGATAGGTCCACACGGTGGTGGGCGTCATGAAGTAAATCGATCAAGGGCATCATTGAATAGTGTTGATGCCACTTGGCTCTTTCCACCCTCGGGCAATGTCCTTCCCCAGGGGGCAGTCCTTGGGTCTCTTCTCCTCCCCTCCCTCCCTCCCCCCTGACCCCATCCTGTCTCGTGGCTTTAAACACCACCCGGATGCCAGTGACCCCCAGCTTTCTGTCTCCAGCCGAGACCTTACCCCCACATCCCAGACCCTGATGTCCCACAGCCTGTGACCTCCCCTTTTGGGCGTCTCCCAGCAACTCAAACCCAACATGACTAAAATCCATCCCTCGTCCTCCCCCCACCATGTGGCGCATTCCCCAGCCCTCCGCATCCAGGGATGTAGCTCTCCACCGCCTGGTTGCTAAGCCAGAAGTCAGAGAGGGTCCTGGGTGCATCTCTCTCTTCCCCTCCCACATCTGGCTCTTCATCAAGCTCCCACACAGCTCTCCGATCTGTCTGGCCAGCGCTCTCACCTCCATCCCAGTCCTGGCCACTGTCCTCTCCCACCTGGACGCCTGGGCTGGCCTCCTCACTGGTGCCTGGCTGCTGCTCTGGTCCCCTTCGCTCCACTCCAACACAGCAGCCCAAGGGATCCATGACCCTCAGTGGCTTCCCATGGCTGCTAACACCAACTCTCAAAATTGCACATGCCCTGGCCCCTGCTGACCTCGCTGACCGCCTTCCGCTCTGCCCCTGGACGAAGCTCTTCACCTCCTCCGGGCCTCCGCTCATTCGGTTCCTCCCGCCTGAGGGTCCCGCCCCCCCGGGCTAGGTGGGCACCTTCTCCTCCTTCGGGTCCCCACTGCTCCGTGAGGCCTTCCTTGACCACCATGTCTCCAGCCTTTCCCAACATCGACCCTCCCCCCAGTTATCCTCCCCTTGTACCTCGTATGGTTTTACTGGGATTCCTGTCTGTCTGTCCACTGCTGTACGCCCAAACCTAGCACGGTGCCCAGTGATCAATTGATATTTGTTACAGAAATTAATTCTTTCCTTGCCTGACAGGCCGCAAGTTTGACCTGCGTGTCTACGTGCTGGTGATGTCAGTGAGTGACTAAGCCAGGGACCCTCCTTTCTTAGTGGTGGGTGGGAGGCTGCTGGCCTGGGGGGCGGGGGCAGAAGTCATTCTGGGGACCTCTGAGTGAGCTCGACTGGTTTTACCCGCCCCGGGGGGACATCTGAGGGTGGGCCAGGGGCAGGTAGATGGACCCAAGCTTTGCTGTCTCAGAGCCCAGCTGTCCCCCCTACCTGTTCTTTATTCACCCAGTCACCCACGGTAAGCACAGCTCGCATTTATTGACCACCTACTAAGTACCAGGCCCTGGTATGTAGCAGGTCCTATCTCCTCGGTCCTCCTGCTAACTGGGGAAGTAGGTTCTATCATTCTCATCTTACAGATGAGGAAACAGATGCAGAGGAGTTGAGTGACTTGCCCAAGGCCACACAGCTGGTGAACAGAGCTGGGATTCAAAGCCAGACAGCCTAGCCCCAGAGCCTCTCTCTTAAACAAGTTGTTGCTTTTTCCCTCCACCCATTCATTCACTCATTCATTCAACAAACGTTTAAACCTTCATGGTGTGCTACTCTACGGTGGGCACAAGGAGATAGGGTGTCCGAGACAGGCTCACTGGCTTGTGGGGAATATGGACACACCCTGAGCCCGGGGGTGACGCACATCGCTGTAGAGCAGAGAAGAGCCCCATTCCTTTTGTTCCCTTCTGCATCTCCCCGCCCCCACCCCCAGGGAAGGAGGGGGCAGAATCGAAGGAGGCTGATGTTTGAGCAAGTTCTTCCTGCAGAAGCCAGCAGGCTTGGGGGTGCTTGTATTTATTCCCCTCCCTCTTCTCTCCTCGGTTCCCACCTGCTCCACAGTACATCCCGCTGCGGGCCTGGTTGTACCGGGATGGCTTCGCCCGGTTCTCCAACACGCGCTTCACACTCAGCAGCATTGACGACCAGTGTATCCTGGGACCCCCGCCTGACCGTACCCCGCGCGCCCTGCCCCTCCAGTCCTCTGGCTGGTCCGGAGAGAACTCGTCCATTCCACACATTTGGCTGGGGGCTTGCTGAGGATCATGCTCTGGTCTGGGCACAGGGGGTACAGCAGTGAGCAAGACGGGCCTGGGCCCTTCTCTCCAGGAGCTTAGAGTCTTGAGGGGGTGGGCGATCCCCCAGGATCCGAGGGAAGCAGCCCCAGTCTGTTCAGAGCAGCCCATCCCGACTGCTCTGCCTGATGATCACACTGGTGGTGTGCCTAACGTTCACACTGACTCATATTAGGACCCAACGTTGACAGTGATTCACGGGTATTGGATCTAACACTCACATTGATCCGTATTCTAGGATCGGATGGTTTGAGCCCCTTAGGAGAGCAGTTGCATCCTTTTATGTGCCTGTGCTCCAGCGCCTAGTCATTGGCTCATTCTCTCAAATACGATGCCATTTTCACCTGTCAAATTGGCAGGGACCAAAAATTTGATGACTCACTGTGTTGGCGAGGCGGGGCGAATGCATATGTTGCTGGTGGGAGTGTAAATTGGCACAACATCTTGGGAGGCAATCTGGCAAATGTCTATCAAAGACTGACGCACAGACTCTGACCCAGCAGTTCTCCTTCGGGAAGCTTATCCTACAGATACACGCACAAGGCAGGGAAAGAGAGGTTTACAGAGTCTTCTCTGCACAGCCCTGTTTGTGAGAGCCGAAAACTAGGAGACAACTAAACGCATGGCTCATTTACGCAATGGAGTGCTATGTAGCTGTTAAAAGGAATGGCGGAAGTGCCTTATGTGCAGATAGGAAACAATCTCCAAGATGCACTGTTAATTGGGGAAAAAAAAGTGTAGAACTCTGTGAAACGTATGCTCCCGTTTATATAAAAATTATATCTCTATATAATCATGCATCACTCAATGACAGGGATACATTCTGAGGAATGTGTCATTAGGCGATTTCGTCATTGTGCGAACATCATGGAGTGCACTTACACAAACCTAGATGGTGTAGCCCACTACACACATAGGCCATATGGTACTAATCTTTTTTTTTTTTTTAGAAGATTGGCACCTGAGCTAACATCTGTTGCCAATCTTTTTCTTTTTTTTTTCTTCTTCTCCCCAAAGCCCCCAGTACATAGTTGCACATTCTAGTTGTGTGTGCTTCTGGTTGTGCTGTGTGGTACTAATCTGACGGGACCATCATCCTATACGTGGGCCGTGGTGACCGAAACATCGTTATGCCGCGCATGACTGTATATGTTTTTATCTGTGCGTAGACATCTCTGGAAGGATGTACAAGAAACTGGAAACAGCGGTTGCTTTTGGGAGCAGAAATGGGTGGGTGGGGCAGGGCTGGGAGGGAGGTAGTTCCTTTTATACATTTCTGTACCTTTTGACTTTTGAAACGTGGGTGTATTATTTGGTTAAACTATAAACATCAAAAAACAGTTTTAAAGGTTTTTAGACCTGAGTGTCAGAGGAAAAGGGGTAGACAATCCAGAAATATTTAGGAGATAAATCGGCAGGACTCGACCACCTGCGTGTGGGAGAGATGGAAATGCAGGGCGACGCTGCCAAGCCGCTGGCCCTGGCGACCCAGCCGATGCTTTTAGCCGCCTCACCTCTCTCTGCCTTCACTTCAGCGTTCCTTTGAGTGTCCGTCCGAGGTAACGCGCTTGCCTCATGATGGGTCATGACTGTAGGCCCTCCTACTCGGGAAATTTTGTGCAGTTTGTTTTTTTCTATTTTGCCAAATACAGCATTTCTAGTATGTTTGTTTTATTTTGTAATTCTAACAAGCATTTATCATATACAAGTCATCAAATTTATTTTAGTTTCATTGTTTTGCCACCTCGTTTTTCACTAAAATTAAACAATAGATGGAAAGCACTTAGAACAGGGCCTGGCCCAGTGGGACTCCTCAGGACACGTTAGTGGTCCCCTCTCCCCCATTTAAAGCTGTTTGCACATCTCCTGCCCTTGTGGGGCCTTATTAAACACTCCAGCTCTCTCCCAGGGCTAGTTTCTATTGAATGAGGCTTTGCTATTTTCACAATGAGTGAATACACGTGATTTTCCACCCTTCTTTTCATTGTTTTAAAATTTTTAATATTGAAATATTTAAAATATATAGAAAACTGCAGAAAAGACTACAACAAAAACCCATGCATCTACTGTCCAGATTTAACAGATACTAATATTTTGCCATATTTGCTTCAGATATTACACACCAACTTTTAAAATAATAAAGCAAATTTGGGTCACAAAATAAGACATTTTTAACCTAACTTTAAATATATATGTGTGTGGATATATATACAGTTTACACACAATTATTAAAATATATGTTCATATATATATGTATATATACACACACACACACACACACAGAAAATTCAAAAATATCCACCTCAGGGCTGGCCCTGTGGCTGAGTGGTTCAGTTTCCAGGAATGGACCTACACCACTCATCTGTCAGTGGCCATGCTGTGGCGGTGGCTCACATGTTAAAAAGAAAAAGAGGAAGATTGGCAATGGCTGTTAGCTCAGGCAAATCTTCCTCAGAAAAAAAAGAAAAAAAAGAACAAAACCCAAAAACATTAGCCTATCATATTTGCTACAAATCTTTTCTCTAGTCATATTTGCCTTTCATTTTTGCCTTGATATCTGATTCTTTTCACTTTTGCATAGTTGACTCTGTCCACTGATTTCCTCTGTGATTTGTATTGTCATTTCTAAGCTAAGAAAATTCTGTTTGCCTGGAATATTTCGCGACGAATCAGTTCCACTTCTCTATGGATTGATCTGAATTGCTTGTTTACTCTTTGCCACCGGGCGCTTTGTTCCATTGGAACCTGATTTCAAGTCCGTCTGTGGAGAGGGAGGATGGAGGTCAGCCAACCGTCCCCCACTCTCCTCTTTTAGCCCCTGCTTCTGCCCCGAAACTAGGGCACGCCCCAGTTTCTCCTCCTCACAGGCAGGAGCAGGGTGTGGAGGAGTGTGAAGTGCTGGGAACAATGTTTCCTCCATCACACGCGGTGAGTTCCCCTGAGTCAGTAACCTGCTCTGCCTGAACATCCTCTCTTCCTGTCTATTTTATGACAACTTCATTGAGATATATTCACATACCACACAATTCACCCAGTTAAAGCACACAACCCAGTGGTTTTCATTGTGTTCACACAACCATCACCACAATCAGTTTGAGAACATGTTCATCATCCCCCAAAAGAAACCCCATACTCATGAGCCTTCAGTTCCCATTTCCCTCCAGCCCCCCTCCCAGCCCTGTGCAACCACTTTCCGTCTTTATATATTTGCCTGTTCCAGACATTTCATATAAGTGCATTCATACAATATATGGTCTTTTGTGCCTGACTTCTTTCACTTGGCATAATGTTTTCAAGAGTCATCCATGTTGTAGCAGGCATCAGTACCTCATTCCTTTTTATTGCCAAATAAGATTCTGTTGTATGGATAGAGCACATTTTATTTATCCATTCATGGGTTGATGGTTGTTTCCACCTTTTGGCTATTATGCATAATGCTGCTATGAATATTCATGTACAAGTTTTTGTGTGGACACATGTTTTCATCTCTCTTGGGTGTATGCTAGGAGTGGAATTGCTGGTCACACGCTAATTCTACGTTTAATGTTTTGAGGAGCTGCTCGGCTGTTTTCCAAAGCACTGCATCATTTTACGTTCCCACTGGCATGGTCTGAGGGTTCCAATCGCTCCACATGCTCGTCAACACTTGTTATTATCTGTCCTTTTTATTAAAGCCACCGTAGTGGGTGTGAGCTAGAGCAGTTGATTAGCATTTCCCTGATGACTAATGGTGTTAAGAACCTTTTCTTGTGCTCCTTGACCATTCACAAATCTTCAGAGAAACGTCTTCTCAAAGCCTTTCCCCATTGTTTAATTGGGTTATTTGTCTTCTTTATTATTGAGCTGTAAGAGTTCTTTATGTATTTTTAATACTACTCCCTCTCAGATACATGATTTACAAATGTTTTCTCTCATTCTATGAGTTGTCCTTTTTTTTTTTTTTTTGGCTTAAAAACCAGAAGTTTATTTCTCACAGTTCTGGTCCATTTTTTTTAAGGACTTAATCTTTGAAGAGCAGTTTTAGTTTCACAGCAAAATTGAGAGGACGGTACAGAGATTTCCCACATGCCGTCTGCCCTGGCACATGCATCGCCTCCCCCATTAGCAACATCAGTCACCAGAGTTGGACATTTCTTACAACTGATGGACCTACATTGACACACCATTATCACCCAGGGTCCGTAGTTTACATTAGGGTCGTACACTCCATGGGTTTGGACAAATGTATGCGTCATTATTGTACCATACACAGTGTTTCCACTGCCCTAAAGCTCCTCTGCGCCCTGTTTTCCCTTTCTCAATAATGTGCTTTGAATCACAAAAGTTTTTAATTTTGATGAAGTCCAGTTTATTTATTTTTTCTGTTGCCACTTGTGCTTTTGGTGTCGCATCTAAGAAGCTCTGCCTGACCCAACGTCACAACCACTTATTCCCAGATTTTATCCTAAGAGCTTTATAGTTTTAGCTCTTATGTTTAGATCCGTGGTTCCTGTGAGTTGACTTTCGTCTGTGGTAAGAGGGAGGGCCCGACTTCCCCCTTCTGCCCGTGGGTCCCGGCCGTCCCCGCCCCATTTGTTGAAAGGCTGCTCTTCTCCCACTGAACTGCCTTGACACCCTTTTGAAAATCGATGGACCCTAAACCTTAGGGCCCTCTTCCTATCTAATGCTTTGTCACGTGCTTATTCTTTTGAAATTAAGGCAGAAAAACTCTCAGGCAAAAGTGAAAAGTCTTTGATAGGCTCTAAAGAAGACATTCTAGGGAAACAATGCGAAAGAGGATGCCACCTCCTCTCGAGAGGCTGAAGCCCCTGCCCTGTCCCATAGACCACAGACACGGAGAAGCATGCGTTGTAGGGGAATTGGACCTGGGTCAGTGACCGAGAGCAACTACTTCCCCATCTGTGAACTGGCCCAATAAGTCCCGGGGAAAGTTACGTCTTACGGGCATTTCACGAGATGTGGGGGATCCATCCTACCTAGCTTGTGGGGGAGGATGCGGAGGAAGGGGCAGTCAGAGTGGCTGTCGCTCAACCTCTCTGAGCCTCCAAGTTCTCATCCGTGAGACGGGAAAGTTTGGGGAACAAATGCGATGACGTGTGTGAACGTGCTCTGTAAGCTGCAGTGTTGCCGATGTTACTGCTGGTGACGATGATGATATTACGGAAAGGCAGACTCTCAGGATTGGGACTTCAAAGGCCATCTTGTCCCCACCCCAATGCTGGATCACTTGTCCAGTATTCTTACAAAGTGGCCACCCCGCCTGAACCCCTCTGGTGGCAGAGAGCTCCGAATGTCCTGAGATGGCTCTTCTGTATCTGGTCTCTCTACTTGTTAGGAAGGGTTCCCTCTTCTGGAGTTGAAAAATCGTAATATAATAATATCAGCGATGCCGGGCACTATCAGAGGTGCTTCTTCACAGTGTCTGATCTGATCTTTCAAATAACCACGAGGTCAGTATTTTACTGTGCACCTCCATTTAATAGGTGAGGAAACAGGCTCAGAGAGGTTAAGTGACTTGCTCAGGGGCCCACAGCCAGTAAAGATAGATGCGGGCAAGATTCAAATCCAGGCGCACCTGACCCCAAAGCCCACGCACGTGACCTCTGGGCTCTTTTGTGCCTTTCCCCATCAATTCCCACGCAAGTTAAGTCCCTCAGTTAAGTCCCTGAGGGCTCCCTGGAGCAGGGCTCGCTCTTGTCCACACTTGCCCTTGACCACCATCTCTGCCAGATGTTCACCTCACCAATGTGGCCGTGCAAAAGACGTCTCCCGACTACCACCCAAAGAAGGTGAGGAAGCCGCGCCTCTGCCCCCCGTGCCGCCTCTGGGGCCAGGTGGGGGGGCGGGGGGCTGGGGTGGGGAGCACTGAGGGCCCCAGAATGGGCCCGTCTTAGGCTCATAGTTCACCAGCAAAGTCAGACTCACCATTCCCGTGTGCACGGCCTAGGGCAAGAGGATGAGTGGAGGCCCAGGCATCACGTGTCTCAAAATTTAAAAGTTACAAATCAAACCAACACACCCTTGAACAAAATGTGTTCTCTCCTCTTACCTTGACAGATGTGCTTGTCTATCCGCTTTCTATCATCTATCTATCTATCATCATCATCTATCATCTATCAATCATCATCATCTGTCTATCATCTATCTATCATCATCATCTGTCTATCATCTATCTATCTATCATTATGTCTGTCATCTATCTCTGTCTATATAGCTTTCATTTCTATCTAATAACCTGCAAGGCCAGGATCAAAGGAAGAACTCTGAGACTTCTCAGAGTTAAGAGCCAGGACAGAGGGGCACAGGGAGAGCTGGCACCCGGCTCACACCTGCTCCCTTCTTTCCCCTCCCGCAGGCTCCGTCCCACACGGGCATGGGGCTCAGTGCTCTATAGATAGTACCTCATTTATTCCTCCTAACAACCCTATAGGCACAAGGGTCATTTTATAGACGGGCAAACTGAGGCACAGAAAAAGGAAGTGTGCCCAAGTAGGAAGTGCCACCTCCCTAAACAGCAACCTGTTGGTCACCCTTTGGGTGCACACGTGGCCAGTGCAGTCGTCCTCAGGCAGGCAGGCAGGCCCAGGGAAGAGGCCTGTGCAGGGCATTTGGGCAGGGACTTCTGGGGTCGTGAGTACCCAGGCTGTGCTCTAGAAAGAGAGGCACAGGCTCTGGGTGGGCCCATCCCCTTGGGCATGCAGGATCTCTGCCCCATGAGGAGGGACACACTCGGGGTTCCCCTAGTCACAGGACTCAGGGTGGGCCCCTCTTGTCCGAGCCTAAGGTTCATGCTGATTGTGGTTGTTTGAGGGTCCTGGCAGGCCCATTCTGGTTAACTGAGGCTCCCTCTCCCAACCCGGGTGCACGGGGCCCAGGGCTGCAAGTGGATGCTGCAGCGCTTCCGACAGTACCTGGCGTCAAAGCACGGGCCTGAGGCGGTGGAGACGCTCTTCAGTGACATGGACAACATCTTCATCAGGAGCCTGCAGAGCGTGCAGAAGGTGATCATCAGCGACAAGCACTGCTTCGAGCTGTACGGCTACGACATCCTCATAGATCAGGACCTCAAGCCGTAAGTGGTGGGCTCGGGCCAGACAGCCAGGGGGTCATTCACACGCTCTGCACCCGGACCGCCAGGCTTCAGATCAGCTCTGCCGCTTCCTCGTTGGGCACACTTCCTTTTTCTGTGCCTCAGTTTGCCCATCTGTGAAATGGTCGTTGTGCCTGTAGTATTGTTATGAGGAATAAATGAAGTGCTGTCTATCAAGCACTGAGCCCCATGCCTGGCACTAAGAGAACTTTCCTGAACATCTGCTGAGTCAGGGCCCCTCCCCTACCATCAGATGAGAAACTTCCCCTCTGTGAGCCCTGGTGCTTTGAGGATGTGCATGCCACATCAGGGAATATTGTTACTTGGCGATCCTGCCAAGAATTGGGTGCCCTCCCACAGTGCCCGTGGAGGAGCTTGTGTTGGAGAGTAGAACACGCCTGAGCCGGCAGGGACCACGGGGATGGCCCTTGCGCGATACAGCGGGACACAAAGCCCGGTGAGCTTGTTCCAGGAGCTCGGGGTTATGCCGTGAGTCAAGGGCAGAGCCAGGCCCAAGTTCCTGGGCTGAGCTGCTCCGCGCCAGCACTGCGGCTCCTGGACCCAACCCCTCCCCAGGGCCGCTGCCTGGCGTGGAGCGGCTTTCTGAGCCAGGCGTGGAGCAGCTGTCTGAGCCAGGCGTGGGGGCCCTAGAGCAAGACCTAAGTCGGGCCGGGCTTCAAGAGAAACAGGGTTCCAGCCCCAGCGAGTGTCCTTTGTCCCCTGCAAGATGTGGCCAGGGCATTAGAGTGAATAGTGATGGGGGAGCAAGGTTGCGAGGAGGCAGCAGAGAGTGGAAAGGGGGCTCCATCTCCCACCCGTGAGCCCTCCCCTCTCTGTGCTCCAGGTTCCCGTCTGTAAAATGACAGGGTTGTACGTAGCAAGAGCTTGCAAGCTGGAGGCCCGTGGGCTGCTTTTGGCCTCCAGAAACTTCGAGTTTGACTGTCAGAATGTCATTTTGTTTGTTTGCTTTCAATTTAAATTCATTGACAATCTCCAAATATTGGAAGAAAAATTGGGAGATTTTGTGTTTGCATGAAAATCTGGATTTTTGGCTTTTCTGGAAAACTTGGAAGATCTCAAAATTCTGGGTTCACACCCCCACAGGGCAGCACGCTCCTGGAGCTGGCCGTAGCCACCCCTTTAGCCATGGAAGGCTCTTTCCAGTTCACCGCAGTCTCCACCCCTCCCTACTACTCCCCACCCTGACCCGGCAGGTCGGGTCCCACCTATAGGCAAACTTTCACCAGGAAAGGGAAGTTTTTCTTGCTCTCAGAGCTCTACTGGAAGAAGGAAAAGCAGTAACAGCATGAGGGCCTCAGCATCCTTCTAAACCCTCCAGCTTGCCTCCTAAGTTACCACCTGACCCCTGTGGGGATTTCAAGTTTGCAACAATTGTTTTCAAAAAGTTTTAGCCACTGCAACCTTTCTTTTAATGGAAAAATGGAGAGAGCTACCCGAGTTGAATTGAGGGTGGGGCCCAGGCTCCCCATCCAGCCTCTCAGTGAAATTCCAGGGTCTCCGGGGACCAGGTGACCCTGAGGCTCTCCATGCCCCTCCCGCCCTCCCCAGGTGGCTCCTGGAGGTCAATGCGTCCCCATCGCTGACAGCCAGCAGCCAGGAGGACTATGAGCTCAAGACCTGCCTCCTGGAAGACACCCTGCACGTTGTGGACATGGAGGCCAGGTGAGGGAGGCGACCTCGCTCATGCACGCCTGTGCATGGCGACCGGGGCTCCCGACAAGGAAGACAGGGGACTCAGAACAACCTTGGGACTCGAGTGGCCCTCAGAGACAGCTCTGGCCTGTCTGCCATCTTATAGATGGAGAAACTGAGATGTCCACACAGAGTTGCATCCTGGTCCGAGGACTCAGCCCTTTCAGAGCAGAGCAGGGCCAACTACAGCTTTCTGAGATCTGGTCCAGCAGGATTTCCTCTGTACTTCCTGACTGTAGGACCCTGGACCGGTCACTCCACCTCTCTAGAGCTGTTTCCTCATCTGTAAAAGGGGAAACATCCTGTCTACCTCTCAGGATTGTTAGATTAATTTACCAAGATAATGTGAAGAGCCTTGCTTGCAGAAAGTGTTCAATAACAGACTATATATTATTATAGCAATGTGTGTGTAATGGAAAAATCCAGGGTCTGACTTCAGGAATGGCTGAATCTAGGTGCTCGGTCGGTGTTAGATGGTCTATCTTCTCTCTCTCTCTCCCTCCTCCTCTTTCCTTCTCTCTCATCTCCTCTGCATTAGCTTTTTCCCAATTACTCCAGCAAAAGTTTGAAGGCTGACTCTCATGGGTCATTGGTGGGGATTGGGTCACAGGCCCATTCCTGAAACAATCCTTATGACTTGATCAACCAGGCTGAGGTTTTGTGCCCACCTCCCAGGGGTGAGGTCAACCCCACCTGAGCCATGTGGGTGAGAGAGGGAGAAGTGGTTCTTGAAGGAAAAACCAAGGTACACTTAGGCTGAAAGAAGGTGAAATGCTGCAGGAGGCAGAAACCTCAGATGGCTACTATATCCACCATCATTTATTCATTCAACAAACATTTGATCCCCTACTGTGTGCTAGGCCTGTGCCACACACCGGGGACACAGTGCAGAACATGTCACATCTAGTCCCTGCCTTCATGGAGTTTATGGTCTGGGGAGGACAACAGCAGACTTTAAACCAGAAAGCACAACTAGGTGCATGTGTGGGTACCTGGGGACAAAACAGGGGACAACCCTTCTGAGGCCTGTGTGGGCACCTGGGAAAGGGGAATGACTGGATGGACAGAAGAAGGAATTCTGACAGGGTGGGCACCACTGGGTGCAGGGGTGGAGCAGGGACCTGGCTCGGGTCTTAGGGCCCCACCAGGTGCACCCTCGTTAACCGTTCGTTTCTCCTGCCGTCCAGGCTCACAGGGAGGGAGAAGCGAGTCGGAGGGTTTGACCTCATGTGGAATGACGGCCCTGTCAGCAGAGAGGAGGGGCCTCCTGACCTGTCGGGGATGGGGAACTTTGTGACCAACACGCACCTTGGTATGTGGGCCAGGTGGGGAGTGGGCACTGGGGATGTGTCATGGGAGGTGCCAGGAAGTCTAGAAGGCAGCTTGGCACAATGGTTAGACTGTTTTAATTTGATCTAAAATTTACCAGCTGTGTGACCTTGGGCAAGGGACTTAACCTCTCTGTTCCTCATCTGTAAAACAGAGATTAAATAGTTTCTATCCTCAATATTTGCCTAGAACACTGCCTGGCACATAGTGAGGGGTACTATTAATCTGCCAGGAGGTGGATTTCAAAGGCTTAGGTGGAAAACAAACAAAAAAACACGCGATATGCTGTTAAGAGAAATTAAAGCCTTCAGGGCTTGACTTTAAACTTGGTTTTTAAAAAGCGAAAAATTTCCCTGATTATCAAAATTGTTCACACTCATTACAGAATATTTGAAAACTAAAGCAGGAAATAAAAAACCATCCAGACGCAACCATCTTTAACAATCTGGCGTATTTGCTTCCAGTTTTTCAAAAATGCATACATTCCTACTTTTTCTTCTAGAAAATTGGCATGGGGCTGGGGTTTAGAGTCCCGCTTTTCCACATCGCGTTTTTCATGTCATTCAACAATATTAATAAAAGCCTCTGTTTTGGAAACACTTTTTGGCCAGGTCCAAACTGAGTACACGGTCTCATTTCCTCTTTAGGCTGCTCTCCTACCAGCATGCAGACGAGGAAACGGCCTGCACATGTTGAAGTACCTTGCTGGAGGGCTCGGTTATAAATGGCGCGCTCCCCTTATAACCTCAGCTCCAATCTGACTTCAAACGGAAAGCTTGACTGCTAGACTCCCCTGCCCCTTAGCGCAGTGAACAACAAAATTACCATATGGCTGTAAGATGTTCCAGCTTGTGGATGTGCCAAAATTTACTAAGCCGATTTCTTATAATCGGGCATTTGGCACAATTCCACTTTTCTACTTTTATAAATAATGCCGTGACGAACATCCTCCTAGATAAAGCTCAGCTGGAATTCTGGCTATTTCTTTAGGACAGGTCCTAGAAGTCGAATTACTGGGTCAAAGGGACAGACTTGTTACAGCCAAATTGTTTTCTAGAAAGATTATATGAATTTGCCAATTGTGAATTAATTTTTTTAAAAAAATTGCCAACTCGACAGGTAAAAAGTACTGACTTGTTTTCTGTGCATTCCATTGATTACTGGTGAGGTTTCAGAGTTTTTAATTTGCGTTTCTTCTTCTGTAAGCTGTCCAGACTCTTTATCTATTTTTCAATGGGTTCCTTACAGTTTTCTAAATTTATAAAGGCCTTGGATACTAATGTGTTAAGGATATTACCCCTGTGTCAGACATTGTAACTATTTTCCTGAGTTTGTCACTTGCTGTTTAAATTTTGTTTGTGGCACCTTTTTTCCTTTTCCTGATGAAAAGAAGTTCTAAATCATTGTTAGGGTTTAGGATGATTTAGGATTGGATTTGGCGGCAAGCAACTAAAAGGACAACAAATAGTTACCCAGACAGGGACTGACTTGTCCTGAGCCACAGGGGGTCTTGGGGTGGGCTGCACAGGACTGACACATGGCTGCACAATGCCCTGAAGGACCAGCTCTTTCCTCTTTCCTCTTTCTGCTTTGCTACACTCAGCAGGTTGTCTTGGTGCTCATGCTTATTGCCTCATGGTTGCAAGATGGCTGCTCCAACTCCAGACACTGTGTCCTCGCCCCAGGCAGGAAGAAGCAGGAAGGCCCAAGGGCCAAGGCCTTTCCTTCAAGCTTTGACTCTTTGTTCCAAAAGGGAAGCCCTCCCAGGGACCTCTGCTCACATCTTATTGGCCACAACTGGGTCATGTGGTCACCCCAGCCGCAAGGAAGCCTATGATGTCAAGCAGTTTGCCTTGAGGAAGGCAAAGGAGAGGGGGTCTGTGAATGGCTTTTCCACAGCAGATCCCTAGCGTCTGCCATGTGGCGTTGTTGGAGGATGACTATATAGCTTTCAAGCTGTGCATACAATCGCCTGGAAATCTTGTTAAAACGCAGACTGTGATTCAGCAGGTCTGGGATGGGGTCTGAGACTCTGCAGTGCTAACCAGCTCCCACGGGATGCTCTGCGGGTTAACTACTGCTCTGTGGCAAACCCTCCCCAACCTAGCGACTTAAAACAACTCTCTCATTCGCTCATGATTCTTCAGGTGTTGCTCATTGGGCTGCAGGCCCCTGGCAGATTACCGTGACATGATAGCCTAGGACAGCCTCTCTCACACGTGTGGTTGACACCGGCTGCCGGCTGGGCCTCTCTTCCCAGGTGGCCACTTGTCCTCCAGCAGTCCAGCCCTGGCTCCTTCCCATGGTTGACTCAGGGTTCCAAGAAGGCAAGAGAAGACACAGCGAAGCCGCATGCGGCCTAGGCTCAGAAGACCCCCAGTGTCATTCTGCCACAATCCATCAGTCGAAGCTAGCCCAGCCCAGATGCACGAGGCCAGGAAACAGACGCCACCTCTTGATGGCAGGAGCAGCAAAGCCACCTTGCAGAGAGGTGTGCATACAGGCATGGGAGGAATTGTTGCAGCCGTCTTTGCTAACAGCCCACCTCAGAGATCAATGCTGCTGGTTTCTGGACCCAATCTGAGTAGCAAAGAGGCAGAACCGTGGGTCTCCAGCTTGGCTGCATGTTGGAATCACACGGGAGCTTTAGAAAATACTGATGCCTGGGGAAGAGAAAGACACAGGTCGGGGGCGGGCCCGGTGGCGCAGCGGTTAAGTTCACATGTTCCGCTTCTCGGCGGCCCAGGGCTCGCTGGTTCGGATCCCGGGTGCGGACATGGCAACGCTTGGCAAAAGCCATGCTGTGGTAGGCATCCACGTGCAAAGTAGAGGAAGATGGGTGTGGATGTTAGCTCAGGGCCAGATTTCCTCAGAAAAAGAGGAGGATTGGCAGTAGTTAGCTCCGGGCTAATCTTCCTCAAAAAAAAAAAAAAAGATACAGTTGGTCTGGATGTCAGTATTTTTAAAAGCTTGCAGATGACTCTAAAACGTAGACTAGGTTGAGAGCCACTGCTTTATAAGTTTCTAGAATGATCCCCAAGTCTCCAGTCAAGTGTCTGGGTGGATGGTGAATACAACAGGAGCTGGTTGGGGCAGGAAGAGTATTGATGAAATGAATTAGGAATGTGCTGAGGGATCTCCTGGTGAAAAAGATCAACAGATAACTCGGATGAGCCTAGAACTCCGAGAAGAGGTTTGCATTGGCTGTGAAGATTTGGGAGTGATGAAGGAGCCAATTACAGTTAAAGCTAGCATCCCATGAAACTCACTTGGAAAAACCCTGGGGATGAATATGGTGGGCTCTCAGCTCAGTGAAACCGTGATGAGCGGTGCGTGCAGCAGAGGCAAGGACAGGGCTTTGGGGTGCTGAGAAAGATGGCAGACACCTCCAGGTCAGGAGTTGTGGCCATGGAGATTCAGTCATTCGACCATTGTGTCATCAATGTCCCTGGCACAAGAGGCAATGCCCATGGAGTTGCCTCGAGAATCAGATCTGAGAGCTGACAGGAAGTGGGTGACACCGTGAACGTGCTGGGAGGAGAGGTCTCAGCGGGGACTGCCTGGGACACACTTCCATCAAGTAGGGCCAATTGTGGGGAAGAGTCCTCTCTTAATTGATGGCGCCTGGTGCAGGGGGTGGGTAAGGGAAGAAAGCTAACATCTCACCTATGCAGTACCAGGCACTGTGCTGGCTTTGAATGCATTTCCCTGAGCAAAGCCAGGAGGAAAGGCAGTGTGGGGTAGAGGTTAGGAGCTTGGCCTCTGGACCTAGATAGCCTGGGTTCAAATCTCAGTTCCGCTCCTTAGTGTGTGATTTGGAGCAAATCATTTAACCTCTCTGAGCCTCCGTTTTCTCTGTGAGGGCTCAACAGTTAATTCACGTCAGCACCTGAAGCAGTCGCTGGCTTGAGCTAAGTCCCCAGTGAACATTACCTTTTCTGACGACCCCTACATTCACCCCGTAACGCACATGTCCTGGCTCACAGATGAGATGACTGACAGACAGGTAAATGACCCGCTGGAGGGCCACGGGATTCAGGAGTGGAGCCAGGATGCAAACCACAGGCTGTCTGTGGTTGTGTGGCTCCTGCTGCCCCCCTCTTCCCACCAGATAGTGGGGACACAGGCCCCTCCACTCCCCCCTGACCCCTCTACCAAGGACAGGCCATCCCAGAGTGTCCCAACACTTCACTTGCCTTGCAGGCTGCGTCAACGATCGGAAAAAACAGCTGAGGCAGCTGTTCCGCTCCCTTCAAGGCCAGAAGAAAGCTTCCAGCTAATCCTCAGCCACCAGGAGGAGAGCGACCCCGGGAAGTGCCACCCCAGTCCTCTCTCCGCTCCACGTTTCCAGCATGGCAGCACCTCAGAGCATTCGCCTTCCTCCCTCGGCCTGGCAGCAGCTTTGCTGGCTCAGCGGCAGGCTGCTTGCCAATCGTTCCAGGCCCCCTGGATGCACACCCCCCCACCTGCCACCGGCGGGCATCTCTGCACCGGGAGACAGCCAATCCCCGGGACTGCATGGACTCTAACCTTCACAGACTTGGCAATCAGGCCCAACGAGGCCAAAGGCATCAAGTTCTGCTACCCCAGAGAGAGCACATCTAATAAACGAGCACAGGCCTTACTCGGAGTCACTGGGCACCAGGCCTGGCGTGGGGGCTGCTGTCAGCTGCAGCCAAGTCTTCCTGGCTTTGACCTTTGATGTCTCTCAGGAGGTCAGAGCTGAAAGGGTCTTCAGGAGCACGGTCTGGGGGCGGGGGTAGGGGGCGGACTTAAGCTGTGCTTGCAAAGCAGCACGATTAGACTGTACTTATTAGGGGTCTGGGGAAGGGCTGAGTGAGCCCTAAGTATATCTTCCCCTCCTTGCAAAACCCTGACCTTGCATGTCAAGAGAACTCAGGATCTCTGACCATCTGAAAAGCAGTGGGCCAGAGCATCCCCATTTCTCAGATGGATAAGGTCACGGCCAAGAAGGCAGAGCTGCTTAACGGGGGTTTCTGCAAACATGTACTTATCTAAGTCAGCTGGGTGACGTAGGTGCCCTCTGGGCCTTCCTGTTTGAGGTGGGGAGCTGAGCTTTTTAAACTAGAACGCCTCGGGCTGGCAGGCAAGATGGCTTGGGGAGTTGACTACAGTACCATTTCCACATCCCAACATTCCTGAGTCTCCTCTCAGTTTAAGAGGGGTTGCAACAGAGTGGGCTGGTGCGCTAACTGCTCCATGAGGGACCTACCATTCTCCCTGCTTAGGACAGTTCTTCTGGCTGCAAATAGCAGAATCTGCCTAGGCAAAGGGAGGGTTTTTGGAAGGAAAATACTGGCAAATCTAAGAACTGAACCAGCCAGGCTTGGGAAGGCCAGAAGCCACACCACTCTGGGTCTCCTGCCTCCAGAGTGTGGGGACTTCCCTCCATGTCTGTGACCGAGGCAAGCGCAGCCAGCCCCAGACATGGGGTCCACATTTCTAGGAAAGAGAATCTGATTGGCTCTTCTTCATTGTCCCAGACAGGCAGGGATAATTTTGGACAGATGGAGAAATTGTGAGCCAGGCAGTCATACAGGACTGAATCTATCAAAGTGAGTTCCACAACTCCCTACTATTTTACATTTATATTTTAAAACATGCAATCTAACACGTCCTTCCCTTCCAGTCTTGTGCCCCAACCATGCAATTTCTGTCCTGAGGGAACCACGTAGTGTCTGCACACAAATTATCAGCCTATTAGACACTTGTCCTGCCCCGTTCTCACTTAACCCATCTTGGAGCTTGTTCCAAATCAATGCTCAAAGAGGTTCCCTCTTCTTGATTATAGCTGTATAGTACTCCACTATCTGGAGCTATGGATCCTTTTAACTAGTCTACTGGGGTGGACATTTAGTTTCCAATTCCACTTCCCTACTTCGTAGGGCCATCATGAGCAAAATACACAGTAATGTCTACTTAAAAAATTCATAATGCAAAATCATAGGTCTGGGCCAAATTTTGCTTATGTAAGCTATCTTGTTTGGCTAAAATTCAAGTTCTAAAATTGTTCCGAATTAGCAGTATTTAAAAGGCAGAAGATTCCATTTAAAAATCCAAATGTCTGACTCCTCTTGAAATCTGGCCATGCTAACCTGTGTTCCTATATAACCATCTGTCGGAGCCGAGTGAGCGAGGGAAAGATTCGCCATGAGCTAACATCTGTTGCCAATCTCCCTTTTTTCCTCCCCTCCCCAAAGCCTCAGTACACAGCTGTATATTCTAGGTGTAGTCCTCCTACTTCTGCTGTCAGTTGCCACCACAGCATGGCTACTGACAGAGGAGAGATGTGGTTCTGCACCCAGGAACCAAACCTGGGCCGCCAAAGTAGAGTGCACCAAACTTTAACTGCTAGGCCATCAGGGCTGGCTCTGCTCTCTCCATTTTGGCATTTGTGGTTGTTGCTGCCTGTCTAACCCTGCTACCATTTCGAGGAACCACAGTCCCTTTGTAGGTGGCACCCTAAAGGGAGTGGTGTGCCCTCAATAAAGGACCAAATCAGGTAAACATTAGCAGCTGCTATGCACGCAGTTAGGTAACATTTATTGAGCCCTCAACGAACACAAAAGACAGTTTTGTCCTCAGAGCACATTCGCATTAGGATCTGAGACCCCTGAGGCAGACGGGAACTCTGAGCAGCACTGGCCCCAGCCCTGCCTTCGGTGGTGGACGGGCATCCTGGATGTAAGGATGCCTGTACGAGGCAGCCCTCTCACCCAGCCCTGGGGCAGGACTCTGCAAGGCCTTCCTGCCTGAAGAGCAGCCACTCTGGGCCCCTATGAGGGGCAAGCAGGAAAAAAGGGCCACAATGGAAGGAGTGGGGGAAACAGCGTGTCTGCCCACAGATGGCTATGGTGAACCACAAAGCCCCGAGATCCTGCCCTTCGTTCAGAAACCACCTGTGAGCCCCCTGGAGTTTATTCCAATTCCATTACACACGCTGCTTGAAAACGCCTCTCTGCCTTTCTGAGAGCAACGCTGGAATGATGTGCCCACTCCTCCCCTCCCTTCTTCCCTGCCCGGGGCCCCTTTGAACAGCGGGCCATTATGAGAAGTGCCTGCTGCAGACATTCTCACAGCCCCACAGGCCTGCCCCCACCCACCCACTGGTGGCTGCCAGGGCCTGTCAATGGGTCTTGTGTCCATTCAGCTCCAGTGGTCAGGTGCAGACCCGGGCAGGCTGAGAGTTCCCTCCTGCCGTCACAGAGCAGCCAAGCGCTACAGACAAAGAGGTTTCATACGGGAGCCACAGCCAGATTCCTGATGCCTGTCCCCTTAGGGGAGATCCTATCCCTGCAGGTTTCAAGGCTGGAGAGTCCTCGGTCCTCCAGGAGCCGAGGTGGGATGCTGGACTTAGGTCCCCCGTCTTCTTCCTTGAGTTTCATCCTTTCAAGATGATCTTGAGAGCTTTAAGCTCGTCCTGGTTGAGGGGGTTCAGGTTAAAACCCTTCAGCTCCGGTTTGCCTAGGGGGAGAAGACCATCACCAGTAAGTCAGGACTCCTGCGGGCCAACCTACTGGCCCTGCAGTCGGGCCAAACGCTTGGCCTGAGGCTTGACAGAGATGGGCCTCAAATTCTGCAGCAAACCGGACACCGCCCATGGACACCTGCTCCTGAGTCATCGAGAACCTGCAGTCGTGACCCTGCTGCCCTGAAAGCTCCAGACTTCTGGCAGACCTGGGACCAACCTGCAGTGGTTAGGTTTACCCAGAAATTCAGCTCTGACCTCAACTCCCTGACCGAGGCCTTACTGAGTCCCCTCAGTGGGTGCTATCCTGGTCCCCACCCCATACCCTAGAATATAACGTAAGATACGGCAGGGTGTCCTTGTGCCTGGAAAAGAACTCGTGACAGGAATGACACCCCACAAACCTCCTTGTCCATTCCATCTCTGGACTGCTAGAGACAACCACTCCCCACCACCAGAGCTTTAGTGCCACTCACTTGCAGACAAGGCCACCGCCCACCTGGGAGGGCCTTCCCAACCCTGCCCTTCAGACTCTGAGCCGATGGCTCTCTCCCCTCCTGGTTTGCGGTTCCCGCCCCAGGCCAATACCTTGGGCCTCAAAGAGGCGGTTGACCTTCACTTTAAGTTGTTTCCGGAGTTTCTCTATTTCTTTATCCAGATGATCCTGATCTAGGAAAAACGAGAAGGGCAAACAGAGGGTGAGGTTATCCCATAGACGGACTGACGCAAAGGGAGTCGGGGACGCTGGCCTCTCCCAGCCCCCTTGAAAACAAGGGCTCTAGCACCAGGGAAGCCACAGGGAACTTCAGAGACCAACTGAGGAAGGAACCAAAGGCTGAAGAAGGGATGTGACCTGCCCACGACCACTCAGTGAGCCCAGGGCAGGGTGAGCACCCCAGTCCCCTGCCTCTCAGCTCACTGGCCTGTATGCATTATGCAGAGAACCTGGGGTGGTCAGTGGATGGGGAAGGAAACATCAGGATTTTAGGTCACCCTCCCACAGTGAAATTACAGAAAACTCAAACGTAAGAGCGAAATGAAGAACCCAGACTCAGCCCACCCTAAGATGGTTGGACAATGGGTGGCTGAGGAATTTTACAAACTCAAGTCCGTCAAGGAGAGGAGTTTTTGGAAAAACATGATTGTGCTAACATGCAACCTAAGCAGTTAATGCTAAACTTAGTGCTTAAGCTTAACCTAAACCTACTCAACCGTAGGGAACAGAAAAGGGTATCTTACCATCAACGGACTGTACCCGAAGAAACCACATCTTACCAAGTGGAGGCTGTCTAAGCTTGATGGTGCAACTGACTAGCATCACCCACAACCCCACCTGCTCACGACGGACCTTCTGGCTGTCTGTCTCCCCACAGACTTTCATCCTTTGAAGGAGAAGCCCTGACCAGCCAAGCCTGCCGGTTCAGGCAAGGTCCGAGGTCTCACTGCAAATGAGTAACCCCAAGCTCTCACGAGCTTCTTTAGCCCGTGCCAATCCCTGAGAATCAGCGATGATGATGTCCCGGAACCCCTCCAGGTACGGTGACAAGACCACATCTGTGGGCCAAGAGAGCTGAGGACCGGAAACTGAGCCTAGCGAACGACCCTCTGAAAGCTTAGCCTGAGTGGCCTCCAGTCCACAACACCACTCTCAATTTTATCACCATAATATTAGTGTGTGTTTTTCAACAGGACAAGAAACGTCTCCTCCAAGCTGACTTAGTTTCCTTTGTTGGAATTTTGATTTCAACAGGGATGGAGATAGCCTGTCTTCAGGGCCTGAGGCAACCTTGCTGGTCCTCTTGGCCTCTCCATTTCCAAGGGTGGGGAAGAAAAATACCCGTAACCTGCCCTTCTCCCTGCCTGCCTTTTTGCCTGCATAATGCTTCTCCAGAGAGCCCCAGGATCGTGGTTAGGAAGATTTGAGTAACACATATTGAGTGCCTGAGCTGTGGCAGGCCCTAGATGGTCGTTCTTCTCAAACCCCCATTTTCAACCCAGTCTCTCTTGTAGGGGATGTGAAAATAGCAGCTCACCCTGCCAGGCTCCCCTGCAGTTATGGGTGGCTATAGGACTTAGTGTTGGCCAATGAAACGTCAGAAGCCCCCGAGGAGGACGGCCTTATTTCCAAAATAGAAGGCAAGGTCACATATGGAGAAAGCCCTTTGCCTTTCCTTCAGCCTGGCACGTGGACATGAGGCCAGCAATGATGACACAACCACCATGAGAATATGCTAAGGTGACACTGCTAAGCAGCGGTGCCAGTCCTGGACTGCTCACCTCTGGACAACTTTTTACTCTATTTCCTTAAGCTTCCATTTGTTGGGTCTTCTGTTATTTGTGGCCCAACCTGTTCCTCACTGATAAACAAGCATTGTGCTGAGCATGCATACCATTCTATCTCAACTTCACGACAACGGAGCTGCGTAGATGCATCGCCCCTTCAGAGATGAGGAAATAACTCAGCGGCAAAGCAGGGATTAAAACCCTCATCAGTCTGAGCCCTTCAACAGAGCTGCCACTCATCAAGCTGCCTGTTCCGGGTTCAGACCGAGGCCGGTGGGGGAGGCAGCCGTGTCCCTCACCCACGCCCAGGAGGCCTTACCTTTCTCAATCATCTCCTTCGTCTGAGGGTGAGGCATCTTGATAAACATGTTCCCGAAGCAAACCATCACATCTTCTGAAATGGCAAATGGTCATTCCTTCAATATTTTTGAGCACCTGCAGTTTGCCGGGCAGTTTTAGATGCTGAGAAAGAGACAAAGTTCCTGCCCTAATAGAGCTCATGTCGTAATGGAGAACAGGGAATACACAAGCAAAGACATCATCCGTGAGAGCCTGACAAGTCTAAGTACCGTAGAGAAAAACAACGCAGGGCGAGAGGGATGGGCGATGCTGGAGTGGGGGAGGGACTCGTTACTTGCACCAGGTGGTCCGAGAAGGCCTCACTGAGAGGAACTTAGTGTGAGAAGCTTCTCACTTAGGTGACATTTGGGCAGAGACCCGAAGAAAGTGAGGGTGTGAGCCCTGCAGACATGCGGGGACCGAGGGAGCCAGGCAGAGGAAAGATCAGCAACTTGCTTGGAGTGTTAGAAACAGCAAGGAAACAGGGTGGACGGAGAATGAGTGAGGCGGAGCGTGGAGGAGATGACGGGGGAGAGCTCAAGGGGCTCTGGGTTACACCGGGTCTTGCAGGACTCCGGATTTTACTCTGGTTGGATAAGCAACTGGAAGGTTTTAGGCTTTCCAGTGCACTTGAAACAAAACTCAAACTTCTTCCCTGGGCCCCTAAGGCCCTTCATTATGGCCTGGCCTCTGCCCATCTCTCCAGCCTTATCATGTGCCCCTCCCCAGCGCTTACTCTGTCACAGTCACTTGGCCTCATCTAAAGAGCCCCCAGCCCTTCCTCCAACACCTACCCCATATCCAATTCCGTCTTCCACTTTCTCACAATTTTCCATTACGCATTTACGTTGTCTTGACTCACCAGACAGGCTGAGATCCTTCTGCAGGGCTCTCAGGCCCTCTCGGTTCTGATTCCTTTTGGTGTCCAGGTCCACAATCTGAAAAGCACAGAGGCAGGAGGGAACTCAGCTACCTCTTGCCTGGACCTGTCACCTCCTAACAGACCAGGGGCTCTTAAAACCTAACAGAGACAATGAGGCATCATTCCTGGATTACTTGCAACGTCCTGTCTAAAATGGACTGCTGTGTTAGCGTGTACCTTTCCCCATTCAGCTCCCAGGTCCTTAAAGACCACGCTTTGTGCAGGTGTCTTCCTGCCAGAGAAGGTGCCAGGAAACTGTTTGCTGACACATGGATGGTTTTTTGTTATCCACTGGAGCACTAGTTCTCAAGGTTTCGAGCATTTCAGAATCGCCAGAGGCATGGAAACCTCGCCCTGGACAAGCTCCTCCAGCTGATTCTGACCCAGGATCATGAGAAACCCAGAAATATTAGACTGCAGCAGCAGGGTTGCTAAGCAGTGCGTGGTGGTAACACAACAAGAGCTGCTAAGGGAGTGAGGAGGCAGTACAGTCCACCACCTCAGAGCGCT